TTATCAGAGATACCGTCCTGACAAAATTACTTGGATTATTTCCAACACCACAAATGCACTCTCAAATTCTACATCACCAGGTTTTAGAAGAAAACAAAGACCTCTTCGCTCACAGCAAAATAAAAAAAAATAAAAAATAAAAAAAAAAAAAAAAAAAAAAAGTCTACTGTGAAAAGTTTCTACTGACCTTGGTCTTTGGGCTCATCGCTGGAACACAAGTAGAGGGCTCGCCGGAACTCCAGATTAAGAAACCACATTTGCAAGAAGGTGTTCACATAGCACGTGGCGCCGAGGTTCTTTAAGCCCACAAATGCATCCTGGTGTGAGAAAGAAAGCAACAGTTATCATCTGCCACTGCCGAGAAGCAAGCAGAAATGCAGCAGTTGGGGTGGGAGCAGCGGAGGCACCATGCATCCCTCTAACAGCTGGGACAGGTGTGACAAAGAGGTGCCCCCCGCTTCGTCCTGGGTCAGGATGCAGGCTGTACCTCCTTGCGGCGCTCCCAGTCAGGATCATCGATGTTATGGAAGCTATTCTCATCAATCTCGCCCATCCAGACATGCTCTCCGATGCCCACCAGGCAGTTGGGGTTCCCCCGGCAGTTCTTCCTGCAGGACCAGCACCAGGACAATCCGTCACCAATGGAAGGGACAGAGCCCCTCGTTTGGGAACTCGGGGGGGAAGGTGGGGACAGCAGGGGGGACCGGCAGCGTCCCACACCTCCCCAAAACACAGGGCTGCGAGAGAACTGGGGAAGCCCGCAGAGGGAGGATGGAAAGCGAGCCCCAGGGGCATGCTGAGAGCCGGAGGGAGCAAAAGGGGGGGGGTGGGGGGGGGGGCAGGGAGTAGTGCGGGCCCCAACGAGCCCAGGCCGCATATCCGGGGACAGACAGGGAGAGGGACCCCCAAGCTCCGGGGATAACGTGGGAAAGCGCTCCGGGGAGCGCGGGGGGCAACGGAGGGAGCTGGGGGAGAACCACGGCCCTGAAGGTCCAGGAGCGGAGGAGAGCTGCTGCCACACAGCCCCGGGGGGAGGCGGAGAGCGGGGACCGCGGAAGGAGGCGGGGGAAGGAAGCGAGGCCCGGGGCCGGGAGCTCGGGCCGGACACGCCCGTACCGGCAGGCGCCACGCTGGCAGGGCTCCAGCCTGACGCGGTAGGCCGCGTCGATGTGCTCCTGCGTCACCGACTCGGGCGGCACTGTCTCGGTCCAGCGCCAGGCCGCCTTCTCCAACTGCAGCCGCCGCCGCCCCGACCGGTAGCGGCGACGCTTAACGCCCGTTTGTGGCGCGAGTTGATGACGTCACATCCTGCGCGACGCAGCGGGCGGGGCCTACTTCCGGCGGAGCCTGCTTCCGGCGAGGCCGCTTCCAGCCGCCATTACGCGACGCCGCGGCCGTCCTGCAGCGCTCGGGTCGGACCGGTTTGATCCCCGCGGCCGTCAGCTCCGCCCCGCGCCGTCTCACGCACCGCCCTCAGGGCCCCGCAGCCGCCTCCATACGTCCTCGGACCCTATGCCCAACCTCCTCCGCACCCAATCCCTCCGCAGCCCTGTATCCGTACCCGTCACACCTTCATATCCGCGTCCGGTCCCCCCGAGAACCTGCGTCCCACCCCTCCAGACCCCCCGTGCTCCTACATCCACTTGTCCCGGGTCCCCATAGCTGCACCCGCGATCCCCCCGTATCAGTCCCGCGGATCCATACATCCCCCCTCCGTAAGCATCTGCTCCAGGCTCCCCCACGTATTCAACCCCATGCCCGCACCCCCCCGTGCTCCCTTTCCAGCCCCACACCTCCGTGCCCCACCCAAAGCACCGGCTTCCCCCTCTCTTCCCCCACAGAGCCCCCAGTTCCACCTGGAGCCCTGTGCCCCCGTTCCTCCTGGATTTCAGATGACAGCCCCAGGCGCAGACCCACACAAGGCCCCCACACTCGTTCTCTCTCCTTTAATGGGTGTCCCAGCACAGGGGGGCTGGGGGGGCCCGCTGTCCCCGCCAACACCCACGATTGTCCCTTGTGCCCCCCACTCAGGTGCCACCCCAGGAGGCACCCGAGCGACCCGGCCGCCCCAGCGTGGCTTGGGTCGGGAGTGGGGAGGGGGGGCTGTAAACATTCCTGTGGGGTCCCGGCCCCCCCGGAGCCATCCCAGGGCAGCGAAGCACCGTTTTCTCGTGGCTTTTTGGAAAAATAATAATAAACCCGACAAAACTCGTCCCCCAGGCTGTGTGGGGGTAAGAGGGGGGCTAGGAGGGGCAGGGGGCGACGGCAGAGCCCCCCACCGCGCCGTGCCGCAGGTCAATGGGGTGCTGGGGGGTCCCTGCGGGTGCCAGCACCAGGCCCCGCACACATCCCGACACGCCGGAGAGGAACTTGCCGGCTGTGAGGCTGCGGGGGTCTGGGGCACCGCCTGCAGGAGGGGGGGATACATGAGTGTGGGAACATGGGGACGCAGCACCCCGCGGTCCTCACGCAGGTCTGCTTCCCGTGTCCTGTCCCAAGTGCCATGCTGCATCCCAGCACCATATGTCCCCTTTCCCTGTCCCCTCTCTTTTCCTATCCCGTGTCCCACATCGTGTCTCATTGTACGTCCCCTCCCATGTCCCACCCCATGCCACGTCCCGTGTCCCATTCCATGCCACACCACGTACAATCTGGCATTCGTGTCCTGTCCCATCACTCCCATATACCTCATTATGTCCCATCCCTCATCCACATCCCCTGGTGTCCCATTCCGTGTTTTGTGTCCCATCGTGTCCCATACTTTGCAGCATCCTCTGCCCTGTGTCCCATCCTGCACCCACACCATGTCCTACCCCATACAGTCTCCTATGTCCTCCCTCCACCATACTCCATTATGTCCCACCACTTCCTGTCCCGTCTCTACTGTGCCCCCTGCCATGTCCCACATCCCACCCCACACCCTGTGCCCCCACCCTCCACATCTCCATACCGATGTAGACGCTGCCCTGGGTGTTGGCCATGATGTTGGTTCCTGGGGACTCTCCAAACACCGGCTCCTCCCCGTCCACCTGCAGCCACCCACGCCGGCCCTGCCTATGGGGCAGCATCAGCACCCACGTCCCAACCCCAACCCCAACCCCCACACCGTTGTGTCCTGACCCCACCTGGCCGCCATCACGTGGTGCCACTCGCCATCATTGACAGGGTCTTCGGAGACGATGGTGGCCTCGCCGCTGCCCAGCTGGTAGCTGTGGGGACACGGGGCTGAGCATGGGGACGAATGGGTGGTGTGGGACAAAGGGACAAAGGTGTCCCCCCTCACCTGAACACCAGGTGCCCATCCTTCAAACCCAGCCCCACGAAGTCTTTGGCTTTGCCACTCTCCTGTGGGCACATTGGGGCTGTGAGTGGGATGGGGACAACCCTGTCCCCTACCCAGGGCTGGATGCCCTGGCCGTGTCCCCGCTCACCGCCCCATGCCACAGCAGCAGCCCCTCAGTGCTGCTTGTCCTCAGCTCCAGTTCAATGGTGTCTTGCAAATCAGGTGCACTGCAACGAGAGGGGCAGGGCATAGGTGCAGAGCCTGGGACAGGGCAACACCATGGGTGCAGAAATGCAATGGGTTCAAGAATGCAGCAGGTAGAATGCAATGGGCGCATGAATGCAACGGAAACAAGAACGCGCTGGGTACAAGGATGCAGTAAGTTACAACAGCACAGTGGGTGCAAGAATGCAAGGGGTGCCACACAGCAGGAGGGGTGCTAAGTTATGATGGCTGTGATGCTGCAGGAAGGGATGCAGCACCATAATGGGTGCAAGTGCAGCAGCCTTGAAGGGTGCAACACCACGGGAAAGGTGCAATGCTGTGACTGTGGCAACGTGGTGGCCAGGGCAAAGCATGCTGGAAAGGATGCAATGCTGCAGTGGATGCAGCACCAGGAGAAAGGTCCAATGCAGCAATGGGTGCAGTGCTGCAGGAAGGGGGCGCAGTGCCAGGGGGAAGGTGCAATGCAGTGTGAAGAGGTGCAACACTATGATGGGTGCAATGCCATGAGGGTCCCGGTTCCTGCTGTCACTCACCCACGGGGGAAGAGGTGGCCGGGCAGGGCCAGGTAGGAGCCGTCACTGAACACGGCGCTGAACTGCCCAGGCGTGTCTGCAGGGAGATGGGGAGAGGAGGCACCGCTGAGCACATCCCCAGCAGCAGGTTTGGGTGCAAAAAGGGGAAAACGGGTGCACGGCCCCCAGGGGAGCGTACCGCTGCCACCGCTGCCTTCCTGCCAGTCCTGGTCCAGCTCTGACAGCTCCGCGCCTGCGGGCGAGAGGGCGATGGGGACCGTGGCTCATCCCCACATGTGCCCGTGTCCCCGCACCCCCAGCTCACCGTGCTGGCAGTAGGGGCCGCCATAGCCCTCGGGGCAGACGCAGCCGTTGTCCTTGCAGGTGCCGCCGTGCAGGCAGGGGTTGTGCTCCAGGCAGCGGTCGGTCACCCGCTCGCAGCGCGGCCCTGGGGACACGGTGGTGGCACATGGTGACACGGGCACGCAGGGTCTCGGCACCTCCTGCACCCGCTTGCACACACAGCACAGCACACTGCGCACACACCAGGCTCACGCAGCACACACACAGCCAGCCCCACGGCACTCACCGCTGAAGCCAGGGGTGCAGAGGCAGCGGAAGGGAGGGCTGCCAGCAGGCAGGGGCAGGCAGCGGCCCCCGTGCAGGCAGGGTGCGTGCAGGCAGGGCGAGCTCTGCCCACACTGCCCCACGCCCCGGCTGTGCAGGAAGCTGTACGACAGATCCACCTTCTTCCCATTGATAGAGACCTGCGCCAGACACAGGGGTTTAAGCCAGGGCACCCTGCACCTGGGGCACCCCGCTCCAATGCGCGGGGGGCTCACCTCACCAATGCACCCTTGGAACGAGGCGTTGGTGGGGGGCCGCAGGGGGGGGCTCCACTCCTCCAAGGTAGAGAGGGCTGTGCAGGTTGAGCCCCTGGCTCTTGCCAGGTGAGGAGCGCTGCACCGGGGCGCTGCCGTCCACCGTCATTGTCCCATCCTTGTGCAACCGCTCAGCTGTCAGCCGGTGCCACCGGCTCGACGCTCCGCAGCACCGCTGTGCCTGCAGTGATGCCATGACTCAGCACTGCCATCACCCCCAGGGAAGTCTGGGGGCACCAGGACTCCTTGGGGACCTGAGTGATGCCCTGGGTGATGCTTGGGAACTCCAAGAATATGCTGGGACCCTTGTGGTTCTCAGAGACCCCAATTGTGTCAGGATACCCGACAGACATCAGGAAACCCAATAGTGCCCAGAAATGCTGACAGCTCCCAGGGGCCAGATAGATGCCGGGGCACCCCAGATATGCTAAAGTTCTTTTGTGACATTTGGAGAATCTGGCAGTGCCTGGGGACCTGAGTGACACCAAGAAACCCCAACTGATGCTAGGGGAAGAGGGGGAGGGCAGCAATGCTTGGGATCCTCAGTGACATCAATGATGCCTGGGGACCCCAATGATGTCTGGGGACTCCACTGACATGCAGGGATCCCATAGTGCTTGGGAACCCCAGTGATGCCAGGCCACCCTGGCCAAGCCACCAACCCACATGGTAACACCAGAGCTCTCTCGGTGACACCAGGCCCCGCTGTGCCATGCCAGCCTACCTGAGCCCAGCTCATAATGGAACTCGAGGTGGCCACTGACCATGGCGAGGGCAACAAAGTCCTCAACTGGGGAGGCTTTGCCAGCACTGAAGAGCAGCAGTCCGTCCGGTGCACGTGGCAGGAACTCGGCCTCCACTCGCAGCTCATGGTGCACGTTGGTCAGGGGTGGGTATGAGACGAAGGCGCCCGCCTCATCGAAGGATGGCACGCTCACTGCCTCCCCTGCAGCACTCACATCTCAGCACCTGTCCCGATGGTGCCCCCCTCCCCTGGCTGGTACTTCAGGCCCTGACTCCACCATCCCCATCTCCCATGGTGGTACCTAGCCCCATTTCTGTGTCCCCAAGGTGGTCTCCAATTCCCCATCCCCACTGGATCCATGATGACCACATCCCCAAGCAGCAACTAGTTCTCTGTCTCCATCCCGCCTGTTTCCCCAGTTTTGTCCCAACCCCCTGCCCGTGTCCCCAGGGTCATTTCCATCTCCATGTTCCTGCTGCAGACTAGATCCATGCTCATGTCCCCAGAGTGGTCCCAGCCCCACATCCATGCTCACAGGGGGGTCTCATCCCCATGCCTGTGTCCTCAGAGCCATCTCCATGCATGCCTGCGCCCTCAAGGTTGTCCCATCCCCATGCCCGTTTCCAGGGTCACTCCATCCCACATCCCTGTCTCCAGGGTTGCCCCCAGCCCCATGCCTCTGTACCCAGGGCAGTCAGAGCTGTGTCATCCCCACTCCAACGCTTGAGCCCCTAGTGTCATCCCCATCCTCTATACCTGTGTTCCCAGGGGGTTCCAGCCCATTGCCCTTGTCCCCAGAATCATCGTTATCCCCGTTTCCATGTCTGTGTCCTCAAAGAGGTCCTCCTACCCCCCGTGCCCCTGTCCCCAGGATGGTCCCATGCCCATGCACATCCCCAGGAGAGTCCCAGCCCCACACCCCTGTCCCTGGCACTGTCCCCACCCGGTGCTCCACCCCTGTCTGTGCCCACCTTCAGTGCACCTCTCCCCCATCTTGCCCAGGTGGCAGCGGCAGCTGTAGCCCTGCCCATCTGGCCGGCTGATGCAGGTGGCGTCAGGCCCGCACGCCTCTGCAGAGGGACAGAGGGGACAGAGACAGGAGATGAGCACTGGGGATCCCCACACCCAGAGGGCAGCAGGTGACGCCCCTGTGGCAAGGGCACCCACCTGGGTGGCAATGCAGGGCCTGTGAGTACTCGCAGTTCCTGCCAGTGAAGCCTTGGGGACAACGGCAGATGTAGGTGCTGCTCTCAGCGTCCTCGCAGATGCCGCCATTCTGTGGGTTGGAGACACGCATAAGCACCAGGAATGGGACCAGTGGAAGGGGACAGCACGCATCATCCCCGACCTCACCTGGCAGGGATGGTCCTGGCACGTGGGACAGTTGGAGACGCCGTGTGCCGGCAGGTCCAGCTCCACAAAGGCCACCTCCTCGTTCTGGATGCGCAGCTGGTGCACGCAGCCTGTGGGACACAGCAAGGCGACACACTCAGCCCCACCCTGAGTGCCGGCCCCCAGCACCCACTGTCCCACTGCATACCCACAAAGCCACGGCTCAGCCCTGTCTTGGCCACGACGGTGTAATCAGGGTACCCACCGAGGTACAGCTCCTCATTCAGGCCCAGCCCTTGGAATTTGCCCTGCAGGCACAGGGGGGTGAGCACAGCCGCCCCAAATCCTCCCACAGCTGTGGGGTGCCCACACCCCTACCTGTGAAGTCCCGTTAACAGGGGGCTGGCCGTCCACCTGCAGTGAGCCTCGTGTCAGGTTACGGAAGAGGCGCACGGTGTGGTACTTGCCCAGGCGCAGCGGTGTCGGGTCCCGAATGGTGGCCATGCCAGAGCCAGCATCGAACGTACCATCAAACGGGGAGATATACAGGGTGAGGGGGGGGCTGTCCCTCCAGCTGGCAGTACTTTCCCGTGCTCTCACCTGAACTCGGGCCGCCCGCCCACCAGCCCAAAGGAAATAAAATCGGCGCCGCTGCTCTTGCGCTGCCCATTGTAGAGGAGCATCCCTATGGGGACACAGAGGGGTGAGCACGGCCGCAGCGCGGGGCAGCCCAGACGCACCCCAGGGAGCAGGGAGAGCAAAGGTCCCCGGGGTGGGCGCTCACCTGAGTACAGGATGAGAGCTAAAGGAAGGAGAGAGATGGAAAGGAGGACGGACAGACGGAGGAGGAGAGAGAAGGAATGAGAGCAGGCCTGTGTGGCACAGTTGGGCTCAGGGGGCTGAGGGGCCCCCATGGTGCTCACCATCGGCAGCATCAGGCCGGAAGGTGATCTGGATCTCGAAGGTCTTGTAGGCATCCTTGATGGTGGGCAGCGGCAGGAAGGAGCAGGGCGTCTGTGTGAAGTAGGGCACCAGGCGCTCTGCGGGGACACGGGGCTCAGCACGGACAGGGATGCCAGCCCCCCGGCCCGTCTGTCCAGTACTCACCTCGCACCTTCAGCACGTAGAAGGCTGTCTCCTGGCCGCGGCGGTTGCTGGCAGCACAGGCATAGACGCCAGCATCCTCAAGGCGCACAGCCGGCAGCGTCAGAGCGGTGCCCTCCACCCGCGCGCCTTCCGGCAGCTCCCCCTCCAGCTGTGAGGACAGCAGGGGTCAGCACCCATAGGGCACCCATCCCCGCCTTCGCACAGCCTCGTGTCCCCGCATCCCTGCTCACCTTGCTCCAGCTGATCTCCGGCACGGGGAAGCCAGATGCCAAGCAGGGCAGGACGGCTGCCGAGCCCACCGACACCTCCTTCACCTCTGGCTGCCCGGCGATGTGTGGGGCGGCTGTGGACAAACAGAGCTGTCACCCCTCACGTGGGGGTCGGGGACACCCTCCCCACACCATGTTCCCATCTGCACTCACCCTGCACGTGAAGGATGACGTGGGACTGCACGGTGCCCACAGAATTGGTAGCAGTGCAGCGGTACTGCCCTGCATCCGCCCGCTCCACCCGCTCAGTGGTCAGGGTGCCGGCACGAACCAGCACCCCCGGGTGGATCCGGCCCCCCACTTTGCTCCAGGTGACGTGTGGCTGTGGTTCGCCGAGCCCTAGGCACTCCAACTCCACCTCCGTGCCTGCCAGCACCGTCTGCACTGCCGTCCGGATGTTAATCAGGGCCCTGGGCAGAGCTTGGGGGGGAGATGGGATGATTTAGGGGTGACCCCGGGCAACAGGAGGCACTGTGGGATTTGGGGAGGCAACCAGCAAAGTGAGAGAGTGGGGGTACCGGGGTGCCCATGGAGAGAGGTGGGAAGAAACAGAGTGCCCATGGGTATAGGGAGATGAGGGGTTTTGGGGTACCCATGGATATGGGGAAATAGGGGAGGTACCAGAGTGCATGGGGAGAAACAGGGGGCATTGGGGTGCCCATAGGTGTCCACGGGAGAGACAAGGGGTACCAAGGTGCACATGGATGGGAGGAGATGGGGAGCACCGGGGTGCCTGAGGGCAACAGTGAGAGATCAGAGGGTAGCAGGGCACTAAGGGGAATGGGAAGAAATAGGTGAGTGTTGGGGTGACTATAGGCATGGGAAGAAACAGGAACACTGTGGTGCCTGTAGGC